ATTGCAATGTATGGATGTGAAAGTTGGACCATAAGAAAGGCTGAGCGCAAAAGAATTGAGGCCTTTGAACTATGGTGCTGGAGAAGACTCCTGCGAGTCCCCTGGACTGCAAGGCGTTCAAACCGGTCAGTCCTAGAAGAGATCAACCTCGACTGCTCTTTAGAAGGCCAGATCCTGAAGTTGAAACTCAAATACTTTGGCCACCTAATGAGAAGGAAGGACTCACTGGAGAAGGGCCTAATGCTGGGAAAGAAGGGGATGACAGAGAATGAGGTGGCTGGATGGATGGAGTCACTGAAGCAGTAGGCGTGAACTTAAATGGACTCCAGAAGATGGTAGAGGACAGGAAGGCCTGAAGGAACATTGTCCATGGGGTCGCGATGGGTCGGACATGACTTTGCAGTTAACAACAACAACAAACAAATATAAGATTTCTGTCTTAGATATACAAATAAGAAGAGGCAATGAATGATTTTTAGAAATAAGATGTCTGTCCTTAAATAAGTATTTAAATGTCTTTTGCTGCTAATTATAGTAAGTCTTTACAGCTTTGCAAGCCATATACAGATAATAAAAATTCATAATTAAGGCGAGTTAATTTTTCATACCTTCCATTGTCTAGATGATCGGGTCTTACTGTTAAAACATTAAAGATACAATCAGAATTAGTTGCAAAAATAATGCCTGGAAATATACTAAGCTGAATAATTAAAACATATGTTGATATGGCATTTTATTATTGATAGCCATGAACAGAAAACAGAACAGGACATTGTGGTTTGTAAACTGTTTTAGAAACTCAATTATATACCTTCTCTTACTTCTGTAGTTATTTGGGAAAATAGTGCAAATTCTTTTACTAAATATCATTACACTAGGCTGATAATACTGCATTATGGAAAAATAGAGATTTCAGTTAAGATCCAGACCCACCTACTATCCTTCAATCAACAAGTACCAGATTGACTAGTATTTGAGTCTTTACCAGTTGACAATACTGGGAAGAAACTAATAGGTCTTTTATAGTCGCACATTATAGTCTGTCCATTACCTTTGACAAATATTGTAGGCCTACAATAAACGTGAATAACTGTTTTAGGAAGAAACCATCCAATCACCTATTAGACTTGAATCTTTCTAAGGAACCTAAAGCAGCTGTTTGTCCTTAAAGAATTTTGTGACAGAGACTAGACTGAAAGTATATGGCTGAGTTTATACAACACACTAAATCATAATGCAGTTTTCTGGCTTTCACTTAGTATATTCTGTGAACATGCGAATTGCAGTTTGTAATCAATGGCTTACGAATATTAATTATGGTTTATTAAAAACTAATGGTTAAAAAAACCATGTGTCCATAGGCAGATACCTCAAGAAATTCTCTTATTGTGCTCTATGAAGTCAAAAATTTCAATCTTGATTTCCTAAGTTCACACTAATATACTCCTGTTTCTTCAATTGGGTGCCCTCCAGATGTATTACTGTACTCATGATTAGCATGCTCTATCAAGGCTGCATAATTTTTTCTAGGCTGAAGGTTGCACATAGCTTTTGAATGGCATGCTGTCATTTAATTTAACAATGTTTATTTTAATTAAATATAAATCTGATAATTCTCCAGTAACAATTGCAACATTCTTTTTCTTTTTGTCACATAAAAATTACAACTTTATAACAGGTTTTGATCCACATTTTGGGGGAAGTGAATGTGTAAAAGCCTCTTCTATATTATGTCACTTGAACATTTTTTTTTAAATTTATGGTTTTATAAGAAAAAAATATTTTCTCCCAGGCTGGCCTACACGACATATTTTCTTCAACTGTGAACTCCACATGGTAAATTATCTACGTATTCAGGCATTTAAAAATGAATACTGCTATTTCTTCCGTCCAATATTAGTATATTTTTGGATTGGAAACTGTTACAATTTTCTTCTAAAAGTTGGCTATAACATACTATTATTTTTCTCATTTGATAGTGTTGAGTACAGACTAGACTAGCAATGTAAGCAGTCCTTTTTTGTACAACTTGATGGAGATACACAAATATATTTTCTGGTATCGGAGAACCTTGAGGAATTGTAAAATTCTCATTTATCTTCAGTCACAAATTGCTGAGCCTGGTAATCATATAATTATAGTAGATGAGAAATTATAAATGAGATATAGCTATCAAAAGGAAAATGAGCGTACCTTTTATATCAGGCCAGATTCTATACTTCCACTGATCTAAACATACTATTAGTATTAGGGTGAATGCAACTAAGAATATCAGATGAAGAGAGGTCAGGGCAAAAAACCTAAAGGAAAATAAATCCAGTTAGTGCAACACTGGTTTTTGGGGGGGGGGGGGAACTGTTATATAAAAAGAACAGGAAAACTTACCTGGGTCACAAAACAGAAGTCAGGTTAAATAATGTTGCATTGTTACCAACTCTAGATTGCCAGAGAGCAGAAGATATTGAACTGAAATAACCCAAAGAACTTTTAAAAATTCCCTTTCACTTTCCATAATTTTCAATAAATCAAAACTTCTAATTAAGGTTTAATCCAATTTTAAATAATATGACATGAAACTCCAACTCTAGCTAAAATAGTTCTTTAAGAATAAATTACACAATAGTTCTTTAAGAATAAAGTAGACAAGAAAACACCTTCGTTAAATTGGGTGTTTACATTATTTTTTCAATTATCTTTTTTTTAACTTAAGATATTTTTCATTCTGTGTTTTGGCTTAACAGAAAGACTGGTAATTATTTAGATCAGGGGTGTCAAACTGCCATCCCCTGGGCCAGATATGTCATCTGGAAGCCGCACCCACCCCATTGCCGGCAATGGCAAAACCATCCGGATACGTTGCGCAATGTCACGTGACGTCGCGAGTTTGACTTGTCTGATTTAGATGAACCTGAAAGCACATTAGCCTTTTAATGACATTCATACAGTGTATAATGACTTTTTTTCATTTGGGTCAATATGGATACATTTACTTTTGGCTTAAAAATATCTTCTATGTTTGTGTAGTTTTTTAAAAAATTGTAAAATCTTTTAATAAAAATTATTTTTTAAAAAAATGTAACTTAAGAATTATCAATTTTTATAGTATATATTTCATTATGAAAGAACATTGTATCAGTGTATGTTGTATTAAGGATGATTACACAATAAAAACAAAAAATTAACTGAAGTACATTCTCATTGTTGGAATCAGTATTACTGACAATGCATTTTAAAGGAGTAATTATTTTAAAGCCAAATGTAAACTGAGCATTACTGTTAAGTCCATGGAAGATAGTATCACTCAACAGTGGCCATCAAATGACACACCAGCATGTTTTATGAAAAAAGAATTTAAGTCATGCTTGTTCCTCAGTGAATAGGAGCTATATATTCGGTTCTTTGTCAAATATAATTAGCATTGTTGTGATGGAACTGCATCCACTCATTCCAACAACTTGAACTACCAAACCATTAATTGCATTCATCTTATAATGACTTAATCAAAACAAAAAAATTCATACAAATTCCCATCTATAACAATGGCAATTTGTTTTTATCTTACTTGTAGAATGAACATTCCTTGGTTTTTTTTTCAATAAACACAGAAAATAACACAGTATCACAAATAAAATACAATCTAATGGCACATTTTCAGAAAAACAAATTTTCTGTTGCACAGCCATAAGACCAAATTTCAAAAACTTCTTAAAGTCCTCAATCCCAACCGTGTGATAAATATTCCACTATTTCCCTGACCTAATCCTCTATTCCAGGGGTTCCCAACTGGGGGTGCGAGACAACATTCCAGGGGGTGCGAAAACTAAAAATTATAGTGTATATGCATAATTCGTTGCTGTTATTTCAAACTTTTGTAAGGGGTGCGAGAATACATCAGAAGTGTTCTAGGGCTGCGGGGTAAAAAAAAGGTTGGGAGCCACTGCTCTATTCAATTTATATCAGCTTATAGTTTTGTTTCACAACTCAAGGTTGTTCAAGAAGTAAAAGCTGCAGCTCACTTTGGGTTGAAGTAGAACATATGATTTTTGGAAGTGAGAAACAACCCAGCAAGCTGATTCCTCTAATAACTCATCAAGAAGCACAGTCAACTACAGCATGGGATCAGATCTGCCTGGGCAAGAAAGTGGTTTTGTCATGGTTGGTTATGAGACTCAGCTTAAGAACCTGAAAGGAAATCTATAAAAATACCTAAAGTTCAAAGGATACTGCTAAAAAGAATCGAAAACCTCTGAATTATTCTAATTACTGACCTTGCTGCACTATGACACTATGCACTCCTTTTCCTAAAACAGCATTCTAACAACTCCATTAAGTTTATATAGAATTCCAATTTAGATTTAGCCAACATTTCCTTTAATTTATATTCATTTTCAGCAAAAAGCAAAACTTCATGAACTCAATATGGTTTAACTTGCCTAGTGGGCCATTCAACTAGGCCAGGGCTTTTCAACTGGTGGCACGCGAGCACCTGGCTGGTGATACGCGTAGGACAGGTTAAAAAAAAATGTAAAAAAAAAATGTAAAAAAAAGGTGTAAAAATGGATGAGGTGAAGCAGCAGCAGCGCTGCACAGGCTTGCAAAGTCAGCTGGAACTGCACATTGCCTGGGTCCTACTGAGAGCCCAGGATCAAAGCGCGCAGCTCCAGCTGATTGGCAGCGGCCTTGGGGGTGGCAGGCAGCCTCAAGCAGTCTTCAGTGGAGATTCCGCTGGAGCTGCGTGATGCATTGCCTGGGTCCCCCACGCCCCCACCCAGATGCCCTCACCTCCCCCAAGCATTTTTTTACTCATCTGCTTTCAGCAGCATTCCCTTTCTCCTGCCCGTTTCAGCTTTCATGTGTTTGTGAGACAAAAAAAAAAGTTCCATGAGACTTTCTAACTTCTCGCGAGAAGTTAGAAAGTCTCATGGAACTTTTTTTTCTTTTTTACCCACAAACACGTGGCGAAGGCAGAGAAGCAAACGAAGGCAAAGAAGTAAAAGGAGAAAGGGAATGCAGCTGAAAGCAGGTGAGTAAAAAAATGCTTGGGGGAGACGAGGGCATCTGGGTGCGGGCGCCAACCTTACCCTGCATGGTGGCGGGAGGGTTAACAGCGGGCACGGGGGGCCCAGGAGGAGCTGCGCAAAGCAGGCAGAGGAGAGGCCGGGCAGATTGCGGGTGCTGGCAGTGCAGAGGCCAATTGCGCACGCGAGGCAGAGGGGCTGCCTGGGGCCAGAGGGTAGGCCAGGCAGATTGCGGGCATCAGCAGCGACGGGGAGGCCAATCGCGCGTGTGCGTGAGGCAGAGGTGCTGCCCGGGGCCAGAGGGGAGGTTGGGCAGATTGCAGGCAGCGGCAGCAACGGGGAAGCTGATCGCGCATGTGCCTGAGGCAGAGGTGCTGCTTGGGACCAAAGGGGAGGACGGGCAGATTGCAGGCGCCAGTGCCTGTGCCCCACCCCCTGGCCGGGAAGGTGCACCAGAGTCCCGGCTGCCGGGAATGCAAACAGCCCGCTCCTCTCCGATCGCCTGCTCTGCCCGGCTCGAGCCTGGCTGGAGCAGCATTGGTATTTCCAAAGGTGACCGCTTCAAGGTCATACGGGCAGCCCTTGGCTGCTCCCCTCCCCTCCGTGCCTCCAAATCGATTCCCGGGCCGGCTGGTCGGTGAGGGAGAGAGAGAGAGAGGGAGGGAGGGAGAGGGAGGGAGAGAGGGAGATAAAGACAAATAGAGAGAGGGAAAGAGAGAGGGAGGGAGGGAGAAAGAGGGAGAGAGGGAGAGAGAAAGAGAGGGAGAGAGAAAGAGAGAGAGGGAGGGAGAGGGAGAGAAAGAGAAAGAAAGGGAGACAGAGGGAGAAAGAGGGAAAGAGAGAGGGAGAGAAAAAGAGGGAGGGAGAGGGAAAGAAAGGGAGAGAGGGAAAGAGAAAGGGAAAGAGAGAAAGAGAGGGAGAGAGAGAAAGAAAGAGGGAGAGATTAAATTAGTAACATGGTTGTTCAGTGAATCTGGTTTCCCCACTGACTTTGCTTGTCAGAAGGTTGCAAAAGGCAATCACATGACCCTGGAACAATGTGACCATTATAAATATGAATCGGTTGCCAAGCATCCGAATGTAAATCACATAACCCTGGGGATGCTGCAATGGTCATAAGTGTGAAAAATGGTCATGTCACTTTTTTCAGTGCCGTTGTAACTTTGAACAGTCACTAAGCAAACTGTTGTAAGTTAAGGACTACCTGTACTTTATCACTTTTTTCCTTTTTTTTGGTCATCAAGTTTTTGACACCTTGCTGGGTGACTGGTGGTACTCGAATGTTGCCATATTCTAAAAGTGGTACAATCGGTGAAGAGGTTGAAAAGCCCTGAACTAGGCTTTTTGCAGGCTTTTCTTGATAAGTGTACACTAAAACAGTGACCTTTACACAAATACTTTCACTTCAAATAAGCACCCCCCCCCCAAATAACAGCAATAAACATTAGATAACAAGAGCTTTTTAAACACAGGACGAGTTTTCCCATTCCCTTTCAGTCAGATACAATAATGGAAATAGGATTAATCTTTTGCACTCCTAATTAGGTGGGGCTTTTGAATCAGAGCTGTTGTGAACAGAACCTTGTGAATGATTCCTACGTCTTCTATACAACATCAACATTGGCTCACTTTTCTAGAGCTGAGAAGAATCGCCTTACTGTACCTTTCCCCCATTTCTAATGTCTTCCATTGATACAAAGCCCAGCGCAATCCATGTACGTACGTACGTACATAGATATATACATACATTCCGAAACTGTTGCTCCCCTTCCTCCATGCCCAGAAATATCTTCATTTTCACATCCCCATACCCTTCTTTGCAAGGCTGCTCACCCGAAAGCTGCATGCGCGCTAACCCAGCCAAGAGCGCTCCTTGCTGGCCTCTCCCAGGTGAGCGTGGCCTGTAGAGCTGTCAGGACCGGTTCGTAAGGCCCGAGATGGGTCCTCAAGAAGGCGCTCAAGGCGCGCACTCGCCGCTCCCGCTCCGAGGACTGGGCCTGAGCATCAGTATCTGGGCCTCCGCCGCCGCGGTTAGTGGCGCTACTACTGCCGGCAGCCCGTCCTGCTACTTCCGCCGTTGCCATTCTTCCCTCGCCCAACATCACTGAGAGACCGGTGGAATAAAGGATAGGATTACCATTCTTCGTCACCAACGGTTGCTGTCGCCACCTCAATAGCTCGAACGCGGCCTCTACCCCACCAGTTTACGCACACTCCCATGGCCGTTCACGTGCCCACCTAAATCACAGGAAGTGACAGTATTAGAGGTACCATCTTGTTGTACGGAAAACTTGAAAGTGCACACACGCGCCCCAAGCTTTTGTTTTAATTGCTTCAACGCATGCGTGTTGCCAAAATAAAGGTAGCATATAGGTGAAGAAGCGGCGTGAAGAGGCAAAGACGAACGGTGCGATTAGCAACGGCATATTTTTTTAGGAAAGCAAGAACAACTCTAGGAAGGATCGGTGTTAACTCCGGAAGAAGAGGATTCAGACTTTAATCCACGCTCACTATGCCTCGGGAGATTATTACTCTGCAGCTGGGGCAGTGTGGCAACCAAAGTAAGGCCAAGAGAAAAGGCTTATGGAACCCGTGTATGTATGTTTGTGTGTGCGCGCGCGAGGACCAATAGAATCAGAATTTGGGTTGTGGATAGAAGTGTTTGAAAAGAAGGGAGTTGTCCTTCGAAGGAGAAGAAAGAGTTGCTGTTTATGCTGTGCAATGTTTTTTTTTTTAAATAGAACATTAAATTTTGTTTTGCCCCGGCTGTTAATCTAGGCAAAACGATAATTGAGGAAATTCCAGGTTTCTAAAGTATAGGGAATGGGATAAGAACTATATCAAAGATAATACTGTTATATTAGAATACTGTGATGTGGAATTCTTAACAAAACCCATATCTCTCCATTGCCTCTTGAGACCATTTCTCTCTGTCTCTGGTAGGGGACAAGAAAAATGCCTATTTTTGTGCTTTCTGTTTTTACAGTTGGATTTGAATTTTGGAAACAGCTCTGCGCTGAACATGGTATTAGCCCTGAGGGTATTGTAGAGGAATTTGCCACTGAAGGCACTGACCGCAAAGATGTCTTTTTCTATCAGGTAAAATATTTTTCTTTCTTCCATTTCTATCGTAGGGTCTGTGGATTATGTGCAAGGGATTGAATGAGCACTGATTGTAAAAACATAATCTACAACTTTGTAGTCTTCAACTTACAACCCAAAATTTCTGTTACTAAGCAAGACAGTTGTTAGGTGAGTTTTGTCCCATTTTACATTTTTTCTTGCCACAGTTGTTAAGTGAATCTATATAGTTAAGTTAGTAATATGGTTGTTAAATGGATCTGGCTTCCCCATTAACTTTGCTTGTCAGAAGGTCACAAAAGGTGATCATATGACCCCAGGACACTGCAACTGTCATAAATATGAGCCAGTTGCTAAGAATCCGAATTTTAATTACATGACCATAGGGATACTGCAACAGTCATAAATGTAAAAAATGATTACAAGTCACTTTTTTAGTTCTGTTGTAACTTTGAACAGTCACTAAATAAACTGTTGTAAGTCAAGGCCTATCTGGCTTAGGAGATGGTTCCATCAAGAGAACTCTGGATACTTAGACTGTGGTCTACAATACCTGTATGGGAGGCTTTTGGTGGGGGATGGGCTACACCTCAAAAGAATCAGGAAAGACTTTGGAAACCAATTGGATTGTCTTATCCATAGGGCTTTAAACTAAAACTATAGGAGGAGGGAGAAGAATTTTTAGAAAGTAATTCTAAGCACAAACCTTGGGCCAATCAATCAAATGGTAAGAAAAAAAAAACAGAAAACGTAGAAATCAGAGGGTCAGTCAAAAATGACTCAGATGCCTATATGCTAACACTCAAAGTGTAAGGAAGAATCAGGGTGAACTTGAAGTCTTCTATGTGGGAGCAGATACGATATTGCTGCCATTGCTGAAACTTGGTGGGATGAAACCAGTGACTGGAACAGAAAGCTTGAGGGATTTACATTGTTTAAAAGACACAGACCTAATAAAAGAGGAAGTGGAGTTGCTCTCTATATAATAACTATAGCACTATAGAAATGCAACAAAATAATGATGAAAACCTCAAATGCAAAAAATGTCATTGCCAACGGTGTATACTACACTTACTTAACCAAACAGAAATTGATGAACTGTTTTGCCAATCAGTTAGATAAGATGTGTATGAAGTATACATACAACCTGACTCCAGAAGCAGTGAATGCTCCAACACTGGAAGTTTTTAAGAAGAAACTGGACAGCCATTTGTCCGAAATGGTATAGGGTTACCTGCCTGAGCAGGGGGTTGGACTTGATGACCTACAAAGTTCCTTCCAACTTTATTATGATTATGATTACTACTACTACTACTACTACTACTACTACTACTACTACTACTACTACTACTACTACTATTATACCACAGTGGTAATGGGGATTTAAATACCCTGATATCAAATGGGAGAAAAACACTACATTTAGTGGAAAGTTCCTAGTAGGAAACTTTGTCTCCCAAAAGAAAGAGAAGGGAACTAGAGGGCCAAGTATACTAGACTTAATTCTCACTAACAGAGATGAAATACTTGAAATCACAGGAACTTTGGGGTAGAGTAACCATGCAATATAATATAATGCAAGCACAAATAATAAGTCTAACTAATATTTTGGACTTTTAAGAGAGCTTGGGAAGAATTCCATAGATGGGAATCGTTAAGGGGAAAACAACTCATGAAGCTTGGGAAAAATGAGATTATAAAAGCCCAGTCAAGCACAATATATTTTTGAATATATTTCTTTCTGAAAAGAAAAAGAAGAGATCTCAGAAGAAACCAGCATGACTGCATAAAGAACTCTGACAAATTGAAAGACAAAAAAGACAAGTATAAAAAGTGGAAAGAGGACACATAACTAAGGCAGAATGCTAGATATAGCCCAAACCTGCAAAGATAAAGCAGCAAAACTAAGGCCCAGAATGAATTTAGATTTAGAACAAATGTCAAAAATAATAATTAAAAAGTTTATTTCAACATGTACAGTGAGGGAAGAAAATATTTGATCCCCTGCTGATTTTGTACGTTTGCCCACTGAGAAAGAAATGATCAGTCTATAATTGTAATGGTAGGTTTATTTTAACAGTGTGAGACAGAATAACAACAAAAAAATCCAGAAAAACACATTTCAAAAAAGTTATAAATTGATTTGCATTTTAATGAGTGAAATAAGTATTTGACCCCTTCGCAAAACATGACTTAGTTCTTGGTGGCAAAACCTTTGTTGGCACAGAGGTCAGATGTTTTTTGTAGTTGGCCACCAGGTTTGCACACATCTCAGGAGGGATTTTCTCCCACTCCTCTTTGCAGATCCTCTCCAAGTCATTAAGGTTTCAAGGCTGACGTTTGGCAGCTCGAACCTTCAGCTCCCTCCACAGATTTTCTATGGGGTTAAGGTCTGGAGACTGGCTAGGCCATTCCAGGATCTTAATGTGCTTCTTCTTGAGCCACTCCTTTGTTGCCTTGGCTGTGTGTTTTGGGTGATTGCCATGCTGGAATACCCATCCACGACCCATTTTCAATGCCCTGGCTGAGGGAAGGAGATTCTCACCCAAGATCTGACAGTACATAGCCCCATCCATCATCCCTTTGATGCGGTGAAGTTGTGCTGTCCCCTTAGCAGAAACACCCCCCCCAAAGCATAATGTTTCCACCTCCATGTTTGATGGTGGTGATGGTGTTCTTGGGGTCACAGGCAGCAGTCCTCCTCCAAACACGGCGAGTTGAATTGATGCCAACGAGCTCGATTTTGGTCTCATCTGACCACAACACTTTCACCCAGTTCTCCTCTGAATCATTCAGATGTTCATTGGCAAACTTCAGTCGGACCTGTATATGTGCTTTCTTGAGCAGAGGGACCTTGCGGGTGCTGAAGGATTTCAGTCCTTTACAGCGTAATGTATTACCAATTGTTTTCTTGGTGACTATGGTCCCAGTTGTCTTGAGATCATTGACAAGATTCTCCCATGTACTTCTGGGCTGATTCCTCACTGTTCTCATGATCATTGAAACTCCACGAGGTGGCGGGGCCAGCTGTCAAGAAGAACGGGTGTGCTGGACGTTTCTCCGGAGCGTCTGTACCCGTTCCCGACCGCCTGACAGATCCCTAGGGGTCCCTGGTTCCCTGGAGGGAGACCGGGAACAACAAGGCGTCCTGAGGAGCTATCCTTAACGGCGGTTGGGATCAGCGAACTCGGGTGAAGCCCTTGCAAGTCGGGCGG